GATTGGTAAATTTCTGGCAAATATATTTCATTTTTGCTCGCACTTTTGTAAGATTTTGTAAATTTCAAAAGCTCTCTGAGAAAGGAACTGCGACAGAATCCGCTAAAAGAAGGGAGCCGACGTTAACGAAGGTAAGTTTGTTTTAAATATTGATTTTATAATGGTTTAAAACCCGACGGCTTTTGCGTATATGAAACAACTAAACAAGACGGCATATATTTTCAGTGTATCTTTAGTATTGATTCCCTTTTTTATTATATTGAATTTTTTAAATAAATAGGAAAGCAAAGTTATTTGCAAGCGAGAATTTTAAATCATTTTATTGCAAACTCAAAGTTTATCGATAAAGCCATTTTAAAAGGCAGTTTAGTTTTATATTAAAGAACACTCGAATGACTTTAAAACGCTTTGCGAAGCGTTTGTGGTTGAATTTTACCTTAAATCGAGGCTTGTATTACGTATAATAACATACCTAACATATATATGTTGGGAAATTAATAATGTTGTGATTAAAAGTGATATTTATAGGCGATTTTTCACTTCTAAGAATATTCCTGGAATATTCTTAAAAAATTATCGTGTTACCATGACAACTTAGATACTTCATGTTCGGAATATACAATGCTTTTGTCAGCAAGGCGAGGGTTTCTGCATGCATGTATTTTCTAGTTTAAAGATTATTTTGCAGGAAAGAACTCAAATTGTAAAATATAAACAACATAGGTCAACTGAAATGACTGTTACTGCAGGAGTTCCACAGGGTTCAATTCTTGGTCCATTGCTATTTCTTTTATACATCAACGACAGCGAAAGCTGCAGTGATATACTTTCGTTTGTATTATATGCAGATGATACGAATGCTTTCTATTCAAATTCGTGCTTGAAAACGTTTTATAATACAATGCAAAATGAAATGAATAAGGTTGTGAAATGGCTCAATGCCAATAAATTATCACTTAATCAACGCTTCTAAAACAAAATTTGTAATTTTTAAATAAAAAAATAAGTTTTTACTGAACACAGACAATACAATCAAAATAAATCATGATTTGGTTAAGCAAGTGACGTTTGTAAAGTTTCTAGGAGTTATAATTGACGAAGAGTTGACATGGAAGAACCACATCAGCTCAGTTCTGAAAACTATTACAGTCGAACCCCTATTAAGCGGACACCTTCGGGACCTTGCCTAAGTATCCGCCTAAAAGGGGTGTCCGCTTAAAAGGGGTATGTAGAAAAACACAGTGGGAGGCAAAGGTGTGTAATTAGGTGTGTAATTTGAGTATCATCATGGCTGGCGGCTCACAGTCCTCCGTCCTCATTCGTCACTTCCTCAATAATCTTGGCTCTGATGTCTTCGCGCCAAGTTGGTGTGTCACTGTCAATGTGCCATGTAAATTGATCTCAAGAACAGTAATAAATTTACGTGGTAAATATTAATAAATATTAATAATTATAATATTATTATTAATATTATTATTATTTATTTTAATAATTTGCAGTAATAAATTTACGTGGTGTTTCCACAAACAAAAACAATTAAATTGATCTCAATTGTTATTTACTGTCAAATATTGAATACATTTTATCAGACAATCTGTCATCTGTCCGCTTAAGAGAGGTTGATTTGCCCATTGGGACCTCCAGAAAGGTGTCCGCGTCCGTTAAAGAGGGGTGGCCGCTTAATAGGAGTTGCGATAATAGTTTTTTATTAAAGAAACCAAATGGGACCTGAGATATGTGTCCGCTTAAAAGAGGTGTCCGCTTAAGAGAGGTGTCCGCTTATAGGGGTTCGACTGTATTACATGTACAGGTATGATTGCTAAACTAGGACATTATACAAATAGAAGCACTTTAAAATTGATTTACTTCGCATTAGCTTATCCATACCTCACGTACGTTAATCTTGTTTAGGGAAATACATGCATATCCCACAAGATTGCCAAAAATAATGAATGTACAAAAGAAAATTGTTCGATTCATTTGTTTTAAATCTTATTCAGATCATTCTGAACCATTATTTTTGGACTTGAAAATCTTGAATGTCCACAAAATTAATGATTATCTATGTAGTATATTTATGTATCGATTCTTTTATTATCAAAATAATTTGTGGGATATTTATTGTGATTATTTTAAACAAAATATAGTGAATTACACAATTATAATAGACGTGATTCCACCAAGTTACACGTGAACTTTCAAAGAACTAATTATCGCAAATATACTGTTTTTAACAAAGGGGTCTCTATATGGAATGGTCTCAATGAAAATACCGATAATATCAAATCGTACTTCTCTTTTAAGAAAAAAATAAAATCTTATTACTTACTATCTGTTTAATGCAAATACTGTAAAATAAAGTCAACTTTTATCTCCTTATCTCTTTTAACTATTTTTATGTAAATAATCGTAATATATACTGCCTTATTTGTCAACATTATTTAGTCGTTGTTACTTGTAATTGATTTTTCAAAACTATGACCTTATCTAAAAGTCCAACATGATTTCCAAAGGTTCCTAGCCCCCATATATACTATTGTAAATATTCTAAATTACTTTATAAATATCTTTTGTGGGCAAAACAAATATATTAAACATTACAATTTATACAATACAACACTGCTTCACAATTTATTTCTGAATAAAATGCCACTCTATTATAGGTAGTTACAATTATTCTGCCCGGGGCTATACCTTGCGGCTTGCAACTGTTCTTGCGGCTAGGGCCTTTCACTTTAATGTTTTCTCCATGCTGTTTCTCCTTATAAAATTTATATATAAAATTATAGCACTAAATATCTATGATATCGATTATATCAATGCATGTTCTGATATCTATTATAAATTTATATCCAATTACACACATTTTATTGTGAAATTTTCACTTATGAAATTGGTTTCACATATTGTTTCACATGTCGGGAAATTTTTGGCATTACGTAATTAATAGTTAAATTTAGAGATGAGGCGACTACCATATATGGTATTGATTGACAGGCATGCTAGATAAAAGGAATGTTGTTATTGGGAATATATGTAACAGAGAGCGATGCTGGGAAGGGATATAATACAAAACACAATATATAACGCGTAATTTGCTCTTATTACGAAAATCTACCACAAAGGGAACCTCCAGACGGGATTAACTTAACAAACGGGATATTGTGACAAACGTGAAACGGGATATTTTACACAACAATCGAGTTAGAGCAAAATTACGTGGTATATGTAAACAAATACAGAGATCGAGATATTAACACGGCAATTGCGAAATGACGCCGAAGCACAAGGAGAACAAACCATCGCACAAAATGACATCGAGACAACAGAAGCCAATTTCAAATCGTTGTTGAGAAAGCTCGCCTATTTTAACCGATCTACGGCTGATACTCTAGAAAGTAAGTAAGGAAGTGACAAAATAAACAGACAATATACTGGGTAAGATTTTGGAGTCTTTTTTCAACTCAAATTGATCAAACATCCATTCCAGATGAAGCTAAATTTTCGTAATTGAAGGAACTTGTTATACCCAAGGTACATGCAACAATTGAGAAATTACCAGCTGACGGTTAGGGTATAAGAAAGCCAAGGAATTCTTAGAACAAAGATGAAAGATATGGTGACCCTAGTGAAGTAGTGAATGCCCATACTCAGGAAATAATGACATTGCTAATTATTACTGGAATTTCAAGATGCGAAATACACAATTTTGACGACAACCTTTTGGGACATGTTCAAGCGTTGGAAACACTGACACTGGGGAAATTGGAACAGGTTGCCGATAATGTGCGAATGACCTTGGACAAATTAGTGGGTATCCGAGCTGATCTAATTAGAACTGAAAAAGTCTGGAAGAAATGGACCTTTACGGAACTGGTCGAAGCTTTACGTCAATGGGTCGAGCGTAATCCCCTACAACCTGGAGATAAAGAAGGCGGCCAACGTCCAAAATTTAAGCAAAGAGCAAGAGATCATTTAAAACAACGTCAATGTGTATATTGCAAAATGACGACCATAGATCACTGGAATGTACCAAAGTTGTCGATGTTGGACAGCGAAAGAGAATCCTAAGCATAAAGAGAAGGCGTTTTAACTGTACGAGAGAAAAACATAGACAAGAGAGTGCAAAAGTAATACCCAATGTTACAAGTGCCAACAAACAGCAAACAACGTATATCCATTTGTGACAAAGCTGAACCAAGCCCTACAATGTGCCAACCGAACCAATCCAACGTGATATATCCTGTAGTGGTTGTTGAAGTAGAAGGAGTAAAATGTCGAGCGTTACTGGACACTGGTTCAGGAAATTCTTATGTATCTTCTACGTTGATGAACTTAACAAAAAAGAAGCCAATTAGACAAAAGATCAAAACCATAGAGATGATGTTGCATTCCACCACAAAGACGATTGATGTTTACAGTGTGAAAATCACGAACATTAATAAAAACTTTAGCATGTCGTCTGAAGTGAATTGTGTTGATCGACCAGTGCTAGCTACTGACCTTGCACAATCCACGTTATAGAGAAGTTATTGCCAGTAATTCACACCTTGAAGGCATAGAGATGGACGATGTTGACACGAAGCCAAGCACGAACATTACATTCCACATAAACCTGTCGTTCGGAAACAAGCTGAATCATCAAAAGTTTGTATCGTCCACGACGCCTCCGCAAAGGTTAACGAAGATAGTCCGTCACTGAATGACTGTTTAGAGATTGGCACTTCAACAAAAGTTGTTAGATATTCTTTTGCGAAACCGAGTTAAACCTGTGCTATTAGCTGGAGATATAAAGCAAGCGTTTCTTCAGATCGTTATCAGGGAAACCGAACGTAACGCCCTAAGGTTGCTGTGGATAAATAATTTGCACACCAGAGAAGAGAAGATCTACCGCATGACAAGACTTATGTTTGGTCTGGGTCCAAGTCCATTCATTCTTGGGGGGACATTGAACGTTCATCTAGAGAAATACTCACAAGATCATCCGATTTGTGTTCGAGAGCTCAAAGATGGTACATACGTGGACGATACAAACATTGCAAGCGACACAGTGGAAAAAAACGATAGAAATCAAAGAAGATGCTGTGAAAATCCTGGGAGATGGTGGGTTCATGTTACATAAATGGCATTCAAACGCCGCAGAATTAGAAAGTGAGGTAAAGGAAGATGGAGAAAACACCTATGCGCAGGAATGTCTAGGGACCACACCATCAGAGACTAAACTTCGTGGATTAGGCTGGAAGAAATCAGAAGACACCTTGTCAGTGACATTTCCACCAAACGAAAATGAAGTTACGAAAAGAATCGTTCTGAGAACTATGGCAAAAATCTATGATCCGCTGGAATTAGCTGCTCCTATTCTACTCACGGCCAAAGTGATCTTTTGAGATATCTGTGATTCTAAGCTGGGATGGGATGCAGATCTACCTGAAGAGCTAAAGCGGCGATGGGAGAAATGGTTGAAGAATTTATCAGTCCAGTTGAAAATGCCAAGAGCAATACCTAGAGAAATCGGTGTGATTGTCGAATTGATTCTTCATGGATTCGCAGATGCGAGCCTTCTTGTTTGTTACGCTGGGATCTACGCTGTTATCAAGCAAGCTGGAGTGATTAGTCAAGGGTTCCTGTTTTTGAAAACAAGATTGGCCAAACGGGACTTGACTATTCCGCGTCTGGAGTTAATGAGTTGCCACATGCTAAGTAACCTCCTACATAACACATTCAAAGTTCATATACACATTGCTGGTGTATTCGCATGGTCTGATACTACTGTCTGTCTTCAATGGATCCAAGGTCAGGGAAGATATAAACAATTCGTGGCTAATCGGGTAGAGAGAATAGACGAGAAAGAAGAAATCGTATGGAAATACGTGCCTAGTAAAGAGAATCCTGCGGATATCAGTAGTCGGGGATCAAGTGACTTGGAAACTACCGAAATGTGGATGAACGGTCCTTCATGGCTGAATAATTCCGACAGCTGGCCGGAACAGATTGTTGCTAAATCTTCTGATGTGTCGGAGCCCGAAAGTCACACAATCAAGACCGTGCTGATGAAAGGTGGTGTTCAACGAAAATCAGATGTCTTTGACGACCTTTTAGCGAAAACAACCCTGTGGAGAACTGTGCGAATTTTGGCATGGATCAAAAGATTTGCGGTCAATTGTCGAAGAAGTAAAAGAATTAGCGGACCACTAACGACTGAAGAGACTGAGGAACAATTGAAATTTGTGATTAAACGAGCTCAAAAAGACGGCGAAAATTCTGTTCAATTCAAAGAACATTCTCTACGATTGAATCTCCAGAAAAACGAAGAAGGCATTTACGTGTGTAAAGGGAGAATTCAAGTGTTTTATCCGATTTACTTGCCATCAAATCATCTCCTATCTCTGAAGATTTAACCATGAGTAAAGTAAGCGACGATTATTGGATCCCTACATCAATGCCTGCTCGAAGTCAATGCCCGTTTTACACAACGCCAATGCCTGCTCCACCTCAGGGGATCTTCCAAAAGAACGAACTGAAGGTGAAACCCCCTTCGAAGTAACTGGTTTCGATTATGCCGGGCCAATCTATTACAAGGGAAATTTGGGGAACTGATCGTAAGTCGTATATATTCATCTACACCCGCAGTTTAACTAGAGGACTTCACTTGCAGATTCTGCCAAAAATGAGCTGTGAAGAGTTGCTGATGAGTTTTAAAAGATTTATCGCAGCAAGAGGTCGGCCGAAGAAGATCATATCCGATAATGGAAAGACTTTTGTGGCTGCTGCCAAATGGATCAAGAAAGTCGTACGGAACGAAAAGTTACAAGGCTATCTGAGTGAACATGGTATGAAACGGCAGTTCAATCTAAGCAAAGCTAGCTGGTGGGGTGGAATGTTTGAACGAATGGTTAGCATAGTGAAACAAGCTCTTTACAAGGTTGTAGGATTGGCAAAACTTATCTTCAAAGAATTGCATGACGTGATGCTAGATATCCAGCTCGTATTGAACAATCGACCACTATCGTACTGTGAGGATGACATTCAACTTCCCGTGTTGACGCCGAACATGATGATCTTCGGTAAAGCCAATTACCTGAGGATATAGAAGAACGAAACCTGCGAAAGAGGGCGAAGTATTTGAAGAAATGTAAGGACGCGTTGTGGCAACGATGGAAACGAGAATACATGAGAGCACTTCGCGAAAGGCATAAATTAACACATGAGGGAAAGAGAGAGAGCTACGAAAGGGTGATGTTATGTTGATCAAAGGTGATGAAAAGAATCGTAGACTGTGGAAAATTGGGATTGTTGAACAACTTATACCCGGAAGAGACGGACTGGTTCATGGAGTTAAATTACGTGCAGCAAAATCATTCATAAGACCAATACAATTTCTTTACTCTTTGGAATTGCATTGTGATAGAGAAAGCAACCAAGAAACTGTTCCATTGAATCCTGCTGCAAAGGAGTTCAAACCAAAGCGTAGAGCGGCTGTCGATGCAAGGAAGAATATTGAACTAATTTGTGAATATGAAGAGGAAGAACTTTGATGGGTAAAGACGGCGAATTCGTGTAGACGTTCGTGTGTATATAAGACAGATAAGTTTATATTTAAAGTGCCTATATCACTTGTGGGACCTTTATGGATTCGAAAAGAGCGTAAAAAGTTAGTTAATAAGTTCAAAAGATTTTTTTGATTTAGTGCAATAATTTCGAAGATACAGGGCTCTAAACAACCCACAGTTCCTGAGTCCCAGGCTCCCATTGACAATGGACAGTTTCGAAAAAGGCCAAATTCAATAGCCGTGTTTAGACCCCAGGAACCTGGGACTCAGGAACTGTGGGTAGTTTAGAGGCCTGTATCTTCGAAATTATTGCACTAAATCAAAAAAATCTTTTGAACTGATTAACTAACTTTTTACGCTCTTTTCGAATCCATAAATGTCTCACAAGTGATATAGGCACTTTAAAACTTACGTTTCTAAATAGGGGGAGTGTGACGGGAAAAAGTTGACATTACGTAATTAATAGTTAAATTTAGAGATGAGGCGACTACCATATATGGTATTGATTGACAGGCATGCTAGATAAAAGGAATGTTGTTATTGGGAATATATGTAACTGAGAGCGATTCTGGGAAGGGATATATATAATACAAAACATAATATATAACGCGTAATTTGCTCTTATTGTGGGGATCAAACGAAAATCTACCACACACATGTGGAAGTAAAATTTCACACGTAAAATTTAATTTCACATACGTAGCTACGTGCAATTAGAAAATAATAATAATAATAATAAAAGAAAATTTGTTTCCATCGGTGAAAATCCATGTGAAGTTTTGATTGCATGGGCCGGAATTTTAAGCCCGGGCTGAATTTACGATTACATGCCAAATTTCAATCCGGCATGAGTTAAAATTTCGGTTAAAGCCCGTGTGAAGTCTCAGCCCGGGAAGTCAATCAAGTCACAAAATGAAGCTATTCCGCTTCTTCGAAGAAGACAATAAATGACAAAATTTTATGTCAATTATTTCACTTATGTGAAACTGCACGTAGTTACATTTAAAAATAAAACAAACAGGTGTTTTTTTTTCCACCAGGTTTGAAATTTCCCGTCGATTATAGGTCGATTTCAGCCCGGTCACTGAACCGGGATGAAATTTTCAGCCCAGCTACTTTCTAGCTTTAACTGGGCTGAACCTCAGCCCGTGTTGAAATTTCTGTCATATAGTTGTTCTTGGTCAGCCGGGGCTGACATTTCTGTCATACAGTAATTCTTGGTCAGCCCGGGCTGAAATTTCCGTCATGTTAGGCCTGGCCGAAATTTCAGCCCAGGAAAGCAGGATTTATCTCAGCCTTGGCTGAAAAATCTCCACGTATTCAGCCCCTAATTTTATGCAATCACTTATCAGTGTTTGGTTTTGTTCATGAGGAAAGTAAAAAAACACGACCTTCCCATTTTTTTTATTTCTTCATCAGGAGTATAATGCAAGCTGCCTCGTTGTGAAAGACAGTATAAAAGGTAATTTATGATTTTCGTTTACTGAGCTCGTTATGGAGTTCTACATAACCGTAGAAAAATACGTAATTTTTCAGTAGTGAGCACATGAATTATTTATCGTCCCTCAAAAGACAGATGTCTTTTGTTAACCTGGAGAAAGCGGGCTCTCGTGATCGTGAAGCGGGTCTCTATAACAAGAATATACTGAGGAATATTTCCAATTTTTCACTCATTATTTACGGGAGAATCTTAAGGGAATCATTATATCATATATATGTTATGTTTTTTTAACTGTTATTTGAGATGTACGTGAACACAGTCAAATGCTAATACGTTGTTGTAGCATACATAACAGCGTAATGTACGGTCAACTTTTCCTACGAAAGACATTCGTAAAAGACAAATTCAGTGTTTTTCCAAGTTTAAACTCTTTTTTTACCCATTATAGTTGCGGAAAAAGGTTGTGCAAATTTTTATGAATCCGGGGAGAGAAAAGATGGTGTGTATACTATCGATGCTGATGGCTTCGGAGCATTCCAAGTCTGGTGTGATATGCAAACTGTTGGAGGCTGGACGGTGTTTCAGAGACGACAGGACGGAAGTGTAAATTTCCACCTTAATTGGTCAGAATATAAAGTTGGCTTTGGTAACTTGAGTGGCGAATTCTGGCTCGGATTAGATAATATACATCGTTTGACGAAATATAATCAAAGTGTTTTAAGAGTTGACTTGATGGATATTGATGGTTCAAAAGGCTACGCCCAGTATATGTCTTTTTCTGTGGCTTCTGAGTCAGAGAGCTACAAACTAAACGTTGGTAATTTTTCAGGTAAATATATAACAACAAGCACATGGCAAATAAACTAGGCAAAATATAGAATATTCAAGCATACTAAATTGATGGTGCATGCATAGGTACATGTTTTTGTCATAAAATATGCTCTGATTTAATTTGCAAAATTCTTTATAATAAAGTAGATTAACTAAAGAAGCATACTCCCTGCAAAACAGTATACTATAAGCAACAAAGATTAATTGAGCATATTAAAAACAGCTAACCAAGGTCACGTGACTGCCGACACACATGCGCTTTCCACTTCGTTTAATCCGGGCTTTAGGAGTATTAGAGAAATCAATTGACCCTCTTTTCTGCGCGGTGTGAGGTGGCCTGTAGGCTGACTGAATAGAAATGGAATATAAATTTCTATTTTCTCATTTGAAAGAAATTTTGAAACTGTATATTAACTTCTTTTACGGACTTTGCATATCTTGCTTAGTTCTTGAAATATTTTCACTTGAAGTGATGAGATGTCTGCCATCTTGGATACGTTTTTTATCTCAGTGACGGTAGTTTCTGTGACGTCACAACAGGGATTAACCATATAAAAGTATTCGTTGCGGACCAAATATTGATTGGTAGATGTTTTAAAGGTTTTGAGAAATCTTGATATTTCGAAAAGCAGACAGGCAGAGTATAGTTTTGACTGCAAAATGATTGGTGGTTGTCCAGATAAAAATATTGCGTGACCCCTGTATTTGTGACGTGCATGCATATCTACAAAAGTTGAAGATGGTAGACATTTCATTCCTTTCGATCAAAATATTTGTAGAAGTATGCAAGATATGAAAAAGGGTAAAGGAGTATTATATATTGTCTTAAACGTTCTTTCAAATGAGAAAATAAATATTACCAACTTTTAGCTGTTTACCAACATTTTTTACTCCAACGTAAGATCCTTAAGTGCTAAGATTGATGATTTGCAAACTGTCACCCAACGTAGATGTATTTAAGCGCTAAGATTGATGATTTGCAAACTGTCACCCAACATGGATGTATTTAAGTGCTAAGATTGATGATTTGCAAACTGTCACCAAATAACGTAGATGTATTTGCAATAACAGAAACCTGGTTAAATCCTAGAATCACCGATGCTCCAATATCCCCTCCCAGGCTACTCTATTGTACGAAACAATCGCGAAAATGGCAAATGCGGCGGAGGAGTGTGCGCTTTCATTATGTCCAATATACCCTTTTCCACCCTTCCTAACTTTAGTGCCCCCGATGATGAAGGTGTGTGGTTAAAACTCAGACCTAATTACCGATTACCTCGCGAACTATCCTGCATCTTTGTTGGCGTGAATTACCATCCACCACTAGCTGATAACAATATCCTGCAAGAATACCTTATTTCCACGGTAAATAAACTATTGCATGTTAGACCATCCTAACGCATGAATTATGATATTGGGCGATTTCAATCATTTTGATCACAAAACGTACTTTATGCCGCCATTCTTTCTTGAAACAACCCTTGTAGAATCCGACATATTTATAACCTATTTTAGACCTAGTTTTCTCTATTTAGCCCTATTTTTTCCGTATTTTTTCAAAAAAATGACTATTTTATTACTATTTATCAAATTTCATAAAGTAGTATATGACTATTTACACTCTAAATAGTATTTAACAATTATTCGCCGAAGGCGAGGTGATTATCGGGGAATATTCGCCGACGGACAAAGTCGGGGTGAATATTCCCCGTTAATCACCAAGCCTGAGGCGAATAATTGTTTTAGTATTTTTACACAAGTCGTTTGTGTTTTGGGGACTAAATTTATTTTAATTTCGCTTAGTATTTCTTTATCAGTAATTTCCACAAAACGGCTAGCCGCCATTTTGAAAATTTCGGTTTTGTTTATATATTCACCTGTAGGTGAAATATAACAATACGTCTTAATACGTCAAATTGGACCGATCAACGTGTAGGACTTGTTATGTTCACTTTTGCAAAAATAATAAATACATATAACCAATAATGGAAACTTTATTAATGATTTTTTTTTTAAGTTACATAGCCTACAATTGTAAATCTCACTTATATAAGGTAATTCACAATCGTCTACTTGAATCAATAATAACTATACATACACAATATAACAATAATAACAAACAACAAATATATAGTACAATTTTTAAAAGGTTAATAGTTCTGGATTTGTCCATTCTTTGTTTCTGCAGCAAAATATATAGTAAGGTGTTCTGATCGCAATCGTCGTCATTCGTCTAAAGCAGTATTTTTGGTGGTTTTTATCGAAGCCAAGATCATTAAGCATGTCCATGAAAGTCAAGCATTCTTTTGCAAAAACTCCAAGACTGCTAATTGAAATATTTATAAATTTGACCTTCTCGTAATACTCGCTTTGTTCCCTAATTAATTCTGAGTATTTGGCCTTTTTGCGTTGAACATTCTTTTCGAGATTAGACTCGTACCCAACAGTTAGTTCCACGATATATAAACATCCACTTGAGGTTGAAAGCAGCAAATCAGGACGATAACAGTCATCAGTAATGATGGATGGACTTTTGTATCCTGGGAGATCCACATAAAGACATGATCCGCTCACAGTCTGTAGGTTCGTCGCAAGAAAGTTTAAGACAGAATCGTGTCTTCATGTGTATCGTTCCAGATATGATTGACAGCCTGCTACAACATGTAAAAGGGTTTCGGGGGCTAGTAATAATAATAATAATAATCATAATCATAATCATAATCAAAATATTTAGTATAATTACATAGGTGATTATTGAAATTTCTCCACGCTGATTGGTTGCCGTTGAGGTGATTATTACACGATATTCACCTAAGCGATTTTCAAAATGGCGGCCGAAGCCTTTTTGTCAATTAAATGACGAAGAAATGTGTATTTTCTTATATTTCCCAAATAATCACGTATGAAATTATACTAAAAGAATTATTCACCTCAGGCTCGGTGATTATCGTGAATAAAAACCTGGACTTCGTCTCGGTTTTTATTCACCGATAATCACCTCGCCTTCGGCGAATACTTGTTAAATATTGCCATTTCTCTTTAAGTATCCAAGGATGTGGAACTCACCATATTATGTATGCAACATGGTGGTGGACTATAGATGGCAAAATTAGGATTATATGATATATTTACGTATATTTATTATAATATTTATTTATAAGATTGGCCATAAGACGATACAAACATCAAGGCAAGTAAAAACGCGATGGCAGGGACTGGGCCAGAGATTAACTCTCCAATAACGTGGTCCCAACAAAAAAATAAAAATAAAACGTTCTAACAACAAGTTCTCACAGATAGACTGAGGAAAAAATGAGTTGTGTGGCACTTGATACACACAGACTTCAATGTTTTCGGGTCCTCCGGATCGTAATTCGATTAGTAAGCTCCGAGGAGTACTTGAATAAAAAGGTTTTGAATGACGCCAGGGATCTTGTAATGTCTCCAACAGAATAAGGGAGAATGTTCCATACACTACGAGCTCTTACGTAATAGGTATTCTGATAACGGACTGTTCTGCATTTCATTGCATTCAATAAAGTTCTTTAGGGGTATGTAGTTGTTCTAACAGGAACCCTAGTGGAAGTATTCTTATCAGGATTGTGAATAATGTGCACTTAAAGAGGTGGATCAAATCAACATACTCGTACCAATATAGTAGAATTAACTAGTAAGCCCACTACTTCACTGAATAATTAATGACCTCACCGTGGAACACCCCCACAAAAATCTTGTTCGATCGAAACCTCTATTACGCTTACCCTAAGATGCACGGCGACCTCGCATTGCGTTCCGTCCATGCCCTCGCCACTCAAGAATACCATAGACTTCCAAATCATAATAAACAAGACGCTTGCTAAGCGTTTTCTCCAGCTAAAGGATTTGCAAAATATCTGCGTATATCCAGCGTATTCGCATCAAGATTGAATATCGTTTTATATCTTAGCTTACACCTTTAAAGTGCATTATTTACGCGTTAATTGAGCGAGATTCCTTGTGGCGTAGTGGTCGGTTTGCGAAGCGTGGTTGCCGGGTTCAAATACCGGCGTAAACTACAGCTTCATTTTCAAATTAAAAAATTTTTTCAACTTCTTCCGAGTATGATTTTAAGGTTAGGTCTTAGGATTAAGAGTTAGGGTTGTGTGTGGGGTGGGTTTAATTTTTTTAAGTGAATATTTTTAACACTTTAGAACTAACTTCCTGACTGCCGGGCACACTGCCCGACTGCATTCCGATGGAATTAAGTTTGATAGTTTAGATACATATGGAGCACACAAAATATGCGCACATGCAGTTGCTTAGTTTTGATCGAGTACACCGAATATGGGTACAGCCGTTTAAGTTTTGGTCGAGTACGCTTTTATTATAGAAAGCGTACGGCCGTTCACGTTTACTTTTGATCGAGTATGCTTAGAAAGCGTACAGCCGTTTACTTTTGATCGAGTACACGTAAAAGCATACATTCACAAATACTTAATCGAGTACGCATATTAAAATCCACTATTATTATACTTTTTGTATAAAGAGTACTGAATACAGTCCTCAGAAGGTAAGCAAAGTAATAGCACGAGAGCAGGAAGTCGAATGAGCCATTGAACGCCAGCACGAAGAGCAGGAAGTCGAATAAGCCATTGAACGCCAATAAGATAATCATAAATAATCACATGCGTCCACGATTTGTTTCGATTGGTCAGAATTAAAGAGTGGCCGCGTGGAAGACCACGCGGCCACTTTTTCTTGCGCGAAAAAAACCCCCGACCGAAACTGTGACTCGAGCTGAGCTCGAATAATAATTAATGAAAGGGCATAATGAAAAAGAAGTCCAGCAAGCATACTCAATGTCCAGAAATTTAATGCATTCTTCAAACATTTTAGGCAATGCCGGCGATTCATTGAGTTATCACAACGGAATGATGTTCACGACCAAAGACAGAGATAATGACAAAAGAGAGAACGACAACTGCGCTACGAATCGAAAAGGTGCTTGGTGGTTCAACAATTGTGCCCGCTCTAATCTCAATGGTCAGTATATGCTTAAAATCAAGTGGCACCAATGGAAAAACAACAACAGATCAACTGAAAAAGTTGAGATGAAAATACGTCCAATACAGCTTTAGAAACACAATCGTGCGTGGACATCATTATTTTTCACAATTAAGTTAATGATTTAAGAATCTTTATGTTTCAATATTAATAGACTAAATAATCATAAACAGTGGGTGCCAGCGTAGGTAGCGAAGAAAACAAAATGCGAACTTTTCAGTGTAGATGGTGCACTTGCTTGACGATTAGATTAAAACATTAAACTCGATAATATATTGCTGGTTGTCACATAGTTTTTAATTTATAAGTACATGGATATTAATGCTTGCAAATAGGGTAGTAAAGGGTATTTACTTGAACTGTACTTGTCAATATTTTGTTTTCCCAAAATGTGAAATGACGGAATTTTGTCGTCGTGAAACGTAATTTGCATGCCTAGCCATGACTTCCGGACTTTTTGTTCGGGAAACGAGAATGAGTTCGGTAGAACAAAGTCTGGACGAGAGGGAGAAGTGTGGACGTAAAAGATTAAAAATAAGCAATGCAATAATTTTACTGAATGTAACAATTTTACTGCAAGGGAAACAACGGGTTGAATAACATTAATTAATTCTCAATAATTACACCGTTAAAAAACGTATTTTTTAAATTTTGTGAAATGGTCAATTTTTACATCTGAAACGCGAAATTGAATAACTGGTCTTCTTCACCCGAGACGTGATCACAACCTCGGGCATTCCCCTACCCTTCACCACCCCCTGTAAAATAACATAAATACTATAAGATAAATGTTAACTAATGGCTGGCTAAAAACATATAGCTAAGACAGAAATATTTAAATTTAAATTGTGCTTAGAAAAGAAAATCATGATAGCCACAGTAATAGCAGCCTGCTCGCAGCCGTTGTTATTAGAGACCTTACGATTTAGGACGGCAACGCGACGGAAACGGCTACCAATACAATAGATCATTGAAAATAATTGAATAATTACAACTCCAAATCACATATTAGAGAGTTTGAGCAAGACAACGAAGTACGAAGACGAAGGCATACTTGCCGTCTGCACATTATCTTGTGCATATTGTGTTGGACGTCACTGGTGGTTGCTCAACGTGTCTTCCCATGTGTCGCTGTTTATGAATACTGACCATAATTCTTGCCCTGATCCAGAAAAAAACAGCAAGACATGAAACTATATCCCGTCTTTGTCCTTGTGCCTTCGTGCGGAACGAAGTTCACAACGAATTTTGCAAAAACATTCGTTGTGAACGAAGGTAGAAGAACGAAGACGGGATATGGATTCATGTCTCGTTGTTTTATCCTGATCAGGGTAAGGACTTGGGTCAGCATTCATAAACAGCTGGACATGAATCTCTAACCTGTCTTCACTCTTGACCCTAAACTTAGAATGCGCGAGATAATGTTCAAGACAGGCAAAAATTGTCAACACGTCGTCGTCGTCCGACTTCGTTCTCTTGCACAAACTCTCTAATACAGCGGCTGCATTTGAAACCGCAACAAGTGCAACTTCAAACCGGATTCAGTAGAACTCTTCCCAACCATAAAACCCATGTTTTCAACTTCCAAGTCTGTACTAAATTCATACGATTGATAATATACGACGAACATCTTCACAACCTTTTATTTGAAGGAGTTTGTTTTGGTCGTCGTTGTCGGCGTTTACGCTAAACGACGTTACGTTAAAGTTATGCTAAACGACGAAAAACTAACGTCTGCTGACACCAGCGCCAGAATCAGAATTTACTTTCCAAATTCTGGAAAGTGACGTCAGTTGATTTAGGAGTGGAATAAATATAAATAAATATTTTGAAAGCAGTCTTCAGTTGAATTTTCGTCAAAATTGCATATATAAATTGAATGTAAAGATATTGACACTTGTCCAGATAATAAAATCCACAATTAATGATAAGATTTGAATACTGAAGATATTTGTTTATAAATTATTTAAAACGCTGACATGATCTACATTAGTGTATGAATCTACAGTAGGCCAGACAACATCAAATGCCGAATATATTTCGCTGAAGTTTGAACTTTTGACGGATGTTTATCTTTAAGACAGCAGAATTCAGAAGACATAAAATTTTATATAATACTGTGGCTTCGAAAGCGAAATTTAAGCTTCAAAGTAAGCCACTAATTTGCTGTTTAAGAAACCACTTTTAAATGTAGAACTGCAAATACAACACTAACCCGAGAAACTTGTAATTGCGCCGAGATGAATTTTCCAATTCGCCCAAACTTCGAAACGTTTATACTGTCTCTAACTTGGCCATACTTTTCTTCATGACAACGAGAGCTTAATATTTTGAAAGTTTTCGTCGAAGTCATGGCATATAGGAAGTATCAAGAGCAACATTGGGACTGAATTTGGACGAAATGGACATATCCTGTTTCCCGATTGATTGTTTGTCATTGTTAAGCAAAAATTAAAATTTCGCCTATTGTATTGTTTTTGCATTTTATCCCCGAGCTGACGGCGCGAAGCGCCGTGCGAGGGTACTAACCGTTACACCCGGAGAAACGAAAGCACTAGCGAAGTCTAAAGTTCACCATTATCGCGGGCGTGGGTGACCAACGATGTTGGGGTGTTGGGTGGGTGATCATCCTCACTGATCTCAAAAATATGGCGGAATGTCGTGAATAGCGGACACTGATTGGTCCAATTTAAAGTTTGCATTATAACGACTGCACGACGACAGCGAAATAGCAAACATTTCTTGATTTGATGATTGATAAATTTCTTGCAAATATATTTCATTTTTGCTCGCAATTTTGCAAGATTTTGTAAATTTCAAGAAAGGGCGAAAGAATCGACTAAAAGAAGGGAGCCGACGTTAACGAAGGTAAATTTGTTTTAAATATTGATTTTATAATTGCTTTGAAACCCGACGGCCTTTGCGTATATGAAACAACTAAACAAGTCGGCATATAATTTCAGTGTATTATTAATAATGTTGATTCCCTTTTTTATTATATTGAATTTTTTATATAAAAAAGAAAGCAAAGTTATTTGCATGCGAGAATTTGAAATCATTTTATTGCAAACTCAAAGTTTTAATATCGATAAAGCCATTTAATTAAAGGCAGCTTAGTTTTATAAAGAGCACTTTAAAACGTTTTGCGAAGCGTTTGTGGTTGAATTTTACCTTAAATTGAAGCTTATATTACGTATAATAACATAGTTACCTAATATTGTAATTAAAAGTGAAATTTTTACGCGATTTTTCATTTGCAAGAACATTCTTAAAAAATTATCCTTTTAGCATGACAACAACTTTAGATACTTCATGTTCGGAAAATACAATGGTTTTGTCTGGAAGGCGAGGGTTTCTGCATGCATGTATTTTTTAGTATATACATTGATTGTTTGCAGAACATGCAAGAAGATGATCACAATATTATTCTACGTAAACATCGTGAAGTTCAACGCTATAGTTTCCAAATATATCCACGCAAGTAAACAAATTTCAATCCAACCAATATATTCCCATGTATGTGCAAGGGCTTTCCCCAGTAGCAAACTCTTAATAAGAAGGCTTCCAATCAGGGCCGTAGCTAGAACGATAATTGGGGGGGGGTTGTATATTCATATATTCGTGTTCTGCCCGACGGATTTCTTTTGAAATCGATTGTTTTTACGGTATGTAAACATGAATATATGAATATACCCCCCCCCCCCAATTATCGTGTCTAACTATACGGCCCTGCTTCCAATTGGTTCTAACTCTTTTGGACGCTGCCAGATGATTGGCTCCTAAAACAAAGGGAATTGGGTCAGCAGACGTTAGTTTTTCGTCGTTTTTGGGTAAGAATAACAACAGCTGCGAGCAGACTACATGCAGTAATAGTAGTTATTAATCAAATGAAAAAAGAGGAAAAAATGTTTAAACAGAGGATTACATCGAGCGTTCATTCTGAAATTCATACATTAATACAGAAGAGGTGCTTTAATGTCAGCCATTAGCTGGGGGCATCGGTGGATGGAAATGTTTATTAACTGTTTTACTATAAATACTCCTCGCCTATATTTCCAAACATTAATAAATATTATACCTCAACTTCAAAATCCCCAGTCAGAAAGCTTAGTTTGGGGCACGTGATTGATGCAATAGTTCAAAATAATACGAGACAGAGGTTTCCGACTTTACCGGGTTTTCAAAGTCCAAGAGCGTTCGAGATCCTGGTAAAGTCCAAGGTCGAGTATTTGAACAGACTTCTCAAACTCATCAATTATGCAATTTTTCACGCATGGATATTTTTACTTAAAAATTATATTCTGTGAATGCTACGCCATGCGACAAGCGTCAGTGGACAAATTGTTCCAAGCGAGAGTGCGAGATATGGCAGAGAACGATAGGACAGTTTCATGTATTCCTAATAAACGTTACCAACCAGCTCGTAGTGGAAAGTGAAGACGAAATTTTCTTTAACGAATGAAAGCGAAATATATGCTTGACGATATTGATTTCGGCGAGGTGAGAAAGACAGAAAACGCTATTTCTGAGTTTGATGAGTTTATGGAAGATTACCTAGCGAGTCAAGAGTTGCTAAATAATGAATTGCCACCATGCAGTCGAGAAAGCAGAAAAAGTTCGACTTGCAGAACAAGCGAGGTATTCGTGATGTTATAGTTAAGGATTATTACATGTCAGCAAAAGTGTGCAGTTTAATTTTGCTTTGTATTATACAGTTTTATCAATGGCAGAATAATCTGTAGCTTACACTAGTTCCAGTGCACCAGTAGAGTAAAAAATTTCAAACTACTATAGTAGTTTGAAAATGAACACTAAATCAGCCTGCTCTCCTCTGAGAGATTTCAAATCAGCCACCCGCTTTGAAGACAGTTTTCTTCCAATTTCAAAATACTGATTTAAAAGAATCACAGTCAACTGTGATGCTTTGCACGCTAAAACATTTTGATTGTTTTGTATTATTAGCCACTTTAGTGACGAAAGATTGACACCCAAAGCGTATCCATATCAATTGCGTTATTCTTAGACGATGTCATATTTTTCATAGTTGATCATTGATTGAGATTTTGGCGTGCGTTTTATCTTAAAATTAACCAATGATTTTGGAAAGTTTTCTCATTTTATAAAGTAGATGGCTATAATAATGGCTGTATTTCCCGTTCGAGGAAGAAGAGAATATCGTTGACAAGTTCAACGATACTTGAACAATTTTCTCTGGGGTGGTCAGTGCACCTTCCCCCCCCCCCCCCCCCCCGCTGTGTACGGTCCTGCCTGAGAATACTGGGGCTTTCGCATATATAGCGAGTTCGCCGAAATCCTGCCGCATCAAACGTAATAAAGTAATTTAAATGAGTAATGATATGCATGCAGTTATTCATCTCAAACTCATTTACATGCAGGGCTGTAAATACTCGTTACAATTGTAACGCGTTACTGTGCATGTACTCGTTACATTTGAAGTAATTTTAACCTGTAATTAATTACGTTTTTAGAAATGTAACGGAAGACGTAATTAATTGCAAAAGCAAGGAACGTGTTTTTTTTCCAAGGAGCAAATTAAAAATTCCTTTTCTTATTCTGTTAAAAATAAGAAATAAAAATACAACGTTACGACAAAAATTCAGAAAAATTGCAGAAATAATTTTCAACGAGATCATATGACATGATAGCCTACATGAAGTACTATTTATTGCGAAAGTGGAACCACAATTTGTTCCGAGGCTCAGAGCGCCAATTGGCAAATAAAGTTTTAAGTTTACATGCTTCGATTTGCATGTCAAATGTTTTAATATATTGAAATATCGTCTTGATGAATTCTTGCAAATTTCATACTCATTAGTTTATACCGTTTTTATTTACAAATTACAAATACTGTTTAAGATATTCGCCCGTATTCTAAAAGCTCACTCACACTCACACTCACACTCAATGAGTGGAGGTTCAATCTGAGCTTCTCTCTTCTGACCACACCATAAAGAGTAATATTAATTGCCTTGCCTACAAGCCAATACATGCACGGTCACAAAATGCTTCCTACATAGATATGTCTTTTAGAGAGAAACTTTTTAGGCAAATCTATACCTGCATGACTTTTACACTAGGAGACCAGAGACGCCGCTCGTGATATAGATTTGAAATGAACTATATAGTTGTATATGTAAGTCAGTGTCGCTAATTATACCAAAAAATCTGTTTGTCTGTTAGAAAAAAAAGTCGAAGACATCCTGGAAGGCTAACCCTAATTTTGACACTGTTTATTTGGGTTAAACACTGATTTCTAGTTACAGTAATATATACATGCCAATCTTTTGAGTGTCAATGCTGTTTTTGAATAGCTGGAGGGTGAGCAGTCACACAGTAAGGTACGACACCAGCCCTCCAGCTATTCAAAAACAGCAATGACACTCGAGAGAGGCTCAGATTGAACCTCCACACATCGAGTGTGAGTGTGAGTACTGAGTGAGCTTTTAGAATATGGGCGATTGTCTTATAATATATTATACACGGCAAAAAACGCCGAGCCCGCTGCTCAACAGGATTGAACAATGTTTTGCTCCCCACGTTGTTCACACTTGTCAACAATATTGAACCATACTGTTGAGCCTGAATCGGGTGTAACTATATTGTTCAATATTGTTGACAACTATGAGCAATGTGGGCAGCAAAACATTGTTCAATCCTGTTTTCATCAGTATTGCAACAACCTGAGCGTTTTTACGCGCGTATGTAGTAACAATTTGCCGGTAAAGAAATTTGTAATTAGTTCCTTTTTTCGGAGTAATTTTTCATTGTACTTAATTTTTTTTAGAACAAGTAATTGTAATCAGGAATTTATTACATTTTAAAGCAAGTAATTGTAATTGTAATTAATTCCTTTTTTAGTGGTAATTTTGCAGCCCTGCAATAAATGAGTAATTTATAATTCATGAGTAAATTAGCCAACCATATTGCTTTATATTGCTCACATGATAATACTGGATATCTGGAGAACAATATTAAACCAGTCCTAGAAATGGATCAAAATTACTTCAGTTTTCAGATTGGTGGATCAAAATTAATTCTCTTCACTTTAAGTCCCGATTTATTCGTATAAGAGATCATTTAAAATCCTCCAATTCGGTCTGGACTTGATTTCGAGTCTTCGGAATTTGAACCAATCTTCGACTTCGCATTGGACTTGATCAAATTGCGCGGTCTTCAAATCTAGTCCCAACTTTGTACTCAGATTTGAAATATTACATTCAAAATATGTTTTATTCATTATAGTTGCAGAACTGTGCTGATTGGACGATCGTTCATTCATCTCGGCGAAATGTTTACACCATTCAAGTCAATAAATAATTGGTATTTACATGAAAATGTATAATTGTACTTGTAGTGATTTTAACTAGAAAATACATGCATGCAGAAACCCACAAAACCATTTTTTTTCCGAACATGAAGTATCTGGAGCAGTTGTCATGGTAACACGATAATTTTTTAAGAATATTCTTACAAATCTCCTAAAAATATCACTTTTAATTACAAAATTATCACTTTCCCACCATATATATGTTAGGTATGTTATTATACGCAATATAGGCTCCAATTTAAGATAAAATTCAACCACAAACCCTTCGCAAAACGTTTTAAAGTGTTCTTTATAAAACTAAACAGCCTTTTATAATTAAATGGCTTTATCGATAAACTTTGAGTTTGCAATAAAATTATTTAAAATTCTCGCTTGCAAATAACTTTGCTTTCTTTTTTATTTAAAAAATTCAAAATAATAAAGCAGGGAATCAATATTAAAGATATACTGTAATTATATGCTGTCTTATTTAGTTGTTTCATATACGCAAAGGCCGTCGGGTTTTAAGTCCATTATAAAATCAATATTTAAAACAAACTTACCTTCGTCACAGAATAAAGATCAGTAACAGAAGGGCAACTCAGCGGTGCAACGTGTCCTCGTTTTTTTATGCAAAAATATGCAGTTTACTGGCCAGAAGGCGGAGCAGCCAGCCAGTACAGCGTGTTTATTGGCCAGAAAATGTCATTGACTGGCTAGGAAAATGGCGGCCAACATGCGTAATGCGACATGCGCGAGGACAAAAACTTCAAAGCTTCCGACGTAAGTTGCCCTTCTATGTGGATCTTTATTCTATGCCTTCGTTAATGTCGGCTCCCTTCTTTTAGCTGATTGTTTCGCCCTTTCTTTATGAGAAAACTATTGAAATTTACAAAATCTTGCAAAAATGCGAGCAAAAAATTCATCAATCATCAAATCAAGAAATAAATGGAGTGGATAAATCAAGAAGTGTTTGCTATTTCGCTGTCGTCATGCAGCGTTATAATGCAAATTTTAAATTGGACCAATCAGTGTCCGCTATTTATGACAGTCCGCCATATATTTGAGTCAGTGAGGATGACCACTCACGGTTGGTCACCCACGCCCGCGATATTTGATGAACTTTAGACTCCGCTAATGCTTTTGTTTCCCCGGGTGTAAATAGCTGGGGGGAATTAGTACCCTCGCGCGGCGCTTCGCGCCGTCGGCTGGGGGAAAATTGTTTATAATTTGGGGCAATTAATATCGTATCGTGTTTTTATGCGTGTTTATAATGGTCTTTTACCTGCAGCAATTATGGCTTCACCAAATTATAACTTAAAAACTGGCCTTTGCCTATATAGAGCAACTATATTTTACTGTATTTTCGAGCAAACTACTGTCAACAAAACGAGTGTTTCAGTTTCCCCTGCAGTTTACGGCAAAGTAGTTTCGAAACGTTTTACCGTTACATTTCACATTAAATTTTAGCCCATTGAAAGCCATGTAATTAACATAAAACTAGATTCCAAATAACAAATTACGAAAATCAATGATTCTTTAGGTAAAAAATTATCTTAGCTGCTGTTATTTTTTCATATTATTTTCATATTACCATAGCGACTATTATTACTTTGAACATGAAGTACTTCATATTGAATGGAATTTCTATACTTCATCTGTTAAAAAAGGCGAGGGGTTGCTGCATGAATGTATTTCTATTACTTGTATAATGAATACTCCTCAAAACGTGTTGGAAGTCGACAGTCTATTCTAGGTCTGCTTAAAATCTGTTCAGGTTTCCATTCACACGAAACTTCATTCTTTCTAGTTGAGGTTTCCTCAGCATCAACCGGTTCCGGACTCAAACGCTCTTCAGTTTCAAATCTTTTAACATTCATGGGCTGAATTTCTCCAATATTGTACTCCTTCTTCAATCATAAAGTTTCGATTGTTAACTCCCCCAACATTAATGTCTATTAATCCCATTAACTGCCCAACTAATATGTCTATTAATATTAATCCCAATAAGTTCTTTGTATGTTTGCATGGTGATAAAATATAATAGGTTTTGTTTGTGGAAACACCACGTAAATTTATTACTGCAAAGCTTTCGATCCGTAAGCCCGGATCTTCATCAGTGCTAATAATATGTAATCATATTATTAGCACTGATGAAGATCCGGGCTTACGGATCGAAAGCTTTGCAGTAATAAATTTACGTGGTGTTTCCACAAACAAAACCTATTAATATTAATCCCATTGAATTTCATTTTTCATTTGCACAGACAGTAAAAGTATACTCATCATCATCATAGTCTACTACAGAGTTAATTCCTTTACTTACTTTCCCGGAGTTTCTACTTTTTAGGCCTCCTCCTTTCATACCTGTCTATGTATTCACCTTCAAGTTGCACACTGCTGCAAAATGACCAACATTTTGACATTTCCTGCAAGTAGCTGACTTGGCAGGGCAGCATTTATCACAAGCGTTGTGACCTTCACCCCCACACCGAAAACAAAGGTCGGGTTTACGTCTTGGACCATCCTTACTGCCACTGGCATATCTCTGCTTCTTCTGAATTTGATTTATTTTCTTTGAAGTCGAAGAGAGAAACTCCATCCTTTTGGCTTGAATATCAATCGCTTCCAATGGCCGAGCAATTTGTTGAACATCTCCTAAATTTAATTATCCACTCTTTTCTAACAGCCTTTTCCTGAGTCGTGATGATTTGCAACTTGTCAATAACCTGGTCACGAATCTGCTCGGCGAAGTCTTCGATGAAACTACAGTTTTTAGCTTCTTCAGCTTAACCTGCATACACTGATCAACCGTTTCACCATCCTGCAGCTTCATTTGACGAAAAACGTGCCTTTCGTAAGGGAACGTTCGCTTTCGGTGAGAAATATTCGTCTAAAATTTTCAAAGCAATTTAATATTCGTCATCAGTCTTGCTGTTTACCCCGGCTTCAGAGTAGTCCAATTAATGCTTCAAATATTTCTTGCATGTCCACGCCAGCACAATAGAGAAGGAGGGCTTTCTTCTGCTTTGCTTCTTCTATACCCTTTGGTTCGACGAAGAACTGAAATTACTTTCGCCATAGCTTTCATCTCGGAGACACACCAGTTGTATCTCCAGTTGAACCGAACGGCTGTTAAGTTCAATATTCACAGCCATTTAAACGGCTTTTTTAAAACATACCACGTCGCCAATTGTAGTGTTTATGTGTTGTTATAAAGTACAAATACAACACGATGCAATGGATTGACTTTGGTTATTAAACAACCTAGCATACTATACCAAACAGCAAGCATACAAGAAGAACAACATGTTTAATTATGCATGCATTTATATAGTCTGGCCCAAACTATATATACAACATAATGAATATATAGTATATATGACACACTGTGTTGTCTAATATAGCATAAAATCTCCATAGTTTCCGAGCAAAAAAAACATGCATGATGCTAAACATAAATCTCGACTATATGATTCAATAAAGGGTAAACCGGTGAAGGTGGTAATTACAAAACGTCAATCACTGGTACCCTTAATAAGCGAGACACATTTGCCATATGCATTTGGGCAGGCATTTTCTCGACGACGCTTTTCTTCTCCCGTCCGCACTAAACGCTTACTGCGCAGGCTAGATTATCTGGGATACTAGTGACAGGTTGCAACCAAACGCATTTTGCATGCACAGTATAGCTATTTTGACTTTTACAGGGTGTATAAAAAAAAGCGCAAACCTCGACTGAAATGTAAATTGCTAAACAAATAATAGACGAAAACGTTAAAGTTTACATTCATTTTAAAGCGTAGCCATTCAGCTTTCCAACAGTGGGTTGTTTCTTAAATTTGACTCATTGGTTCACGGGTAGTAATACTTTACGCTATTGCGATTGGAGATTAAAAAAATGAGATGGAATAACAAATCGTTCTCATGAAAATAACTGCATGATTTTTTCATTAAAACAAAAAAATGTTGCATTTTATTAAATGGATTGTAACAATAAGTATAATTACGGCTTTTCTTCCACTATTTTTAACTCAGTTTGAAACTTCAAATGCGATATAATTTTGGCTTGGACCATCTAAGCTGACTGACATCAATTTGCTATAATTTCTGTTTACATTACATCGCAATTCGATGACACTCTGGCTCAGACACCAGAATGTTTTGACGATTTTTAGCATTCGTTTAGGATTTTCAAACAACCTGGTCTCTTTTAAAATACTTTTAATTTGTTCTTACGTGGTTTTCCGACAACATTAAAGCATAGATTATAGATCATACCAGACATCTGGTATGATCTATAATCTATGATTAAAGTTTAAAGAAGAACATTCTAACATTTAAATCGACTAAACAATAACATAGTATAAAACTTGCATAATTAAACAGCAACTAAAAATGATAGGTTTTACTAAATGTTTTCCTGTGCAATTATTACTAGCATTGGAGACAAGGATAACAGTTTGTTTGAAAGAGAAAAGAACAGGCTTTGAAGTAAGCCTAAAAGCGTTTAAGTAGAAATAGTATTTCGAAAGTTACTAAGCACAAAAGATGAATTGCGTTTATTTTGATACACCCTGTATACTGTACCATGCATGCATGTTCTTTTGCTGGTGCATGCCTTGTGACTGCTGCAAGCATAAACCATCATATGAAAATAATAATTTACTTGACAGATACATCTAGCTATCTCGAGCATATTGTCAGAGTTAATGTATCGTATCTGGATACCTGGAGATTCAGTGAACTGCATTATTTGAAGAAGTAAGTTCTAAGAAGCTTGCAATCTTAAAATTTCCCGATTCCATCCCACCTGGTGATCCATGTCCAGTTCAACTAACAGGGGCAGGGCTATATAATTATCTGAATGTATACCGGCTAAAATATGTACCCAAATGTCAATGCATTTAAATTACAGTCATATAACAGTTACATGCTTGCGTATGGCTTGCTTACGTCACCTCACACAAAATCGTACATTCTGATTTACAAGATTACAAGCGCCATTTGGCTTAAAATGGGTTAAATTTACTCCAGGCGAGGCGGCATTGCCATCCACAGTAATAAGGAGAAACACTGTATGATAATTTCATTTCATTTAATAAAAACCTTATAAATTTTCATAGACCCTCTAGCCCACTAATATTTTATAAATTTATTATAAATTTATAGTATACCATATATTCTTTATCACAGTTTCTTTATGCTTAAAGGTTACTTATGTCGAGCTTTTATGCACTTGTGGGTTCAACAGAGATGCGAGGCATTCAAATTCTGAAACAGCATTTCCTGCGTTCTGGCGTCACCTTTTAAATTAATTTAATGGTTAGAAAATACATGTTTTTAAGAGAATTTTGGACTAATATACGCAGCTCAAACAATGAATTGAACATTTTAGGAAACTTATTAGCTGGTGATAAAAATATAGGATTGGCAAATTGCTGACGCATCGATATTTATTATGAGCCAACAAGTAGAGATGCTTTTAATATAAACATAGTTGTAATTTTAGATCTATACTCTTTCAAACCAACCGCTTTAACAATGAAATAGAAACCAAACTGCAAGAGCGTGAAAGCTTTACAATTATCTCCTGATTCTCTATCGCAAACGCAATGATTCGGTCACGCAATATTATAAGAATTATACACATATTTCGCGCTATCATGAGTGTAGACTGTGTAGAAGTTACACGTATAAACATCGATACGCTTGTTGACGGATCGATATTATTATACAGTAAGTAGAAATAGCTTACAGTTATAACTTTAGACTATATACTTTTAAACAAACCTTGAAAATGAACAAGAAATCCATGTAGATGCTTCTATCGCCAACGCAATTTTCAGTCACGCAAAATTATAAACATGTTTCGCGCGTCCTCGAGTTCTGTTAACTTTCATTCCCAGTTTTCTCTAAATACTGCTCGACTCACAGGTTTATGACCGGTTTACATCCATCGGAGCGCAGCCGTTTAGCCAATCGAATGGCGTATCGACCGGTTTACTCTCATTGAGAAAACTCTGACCACCGGTTTACTCATAATTGCGGGCGGTTATGTGTGATTCATGCGACGTTTCGGTCCACGACCCACGACGATACATTAGCAGATTATTTGTCTAGTGTTACAACATTTCGTAAGAGGTGAACCAACGCGATAAGTCCTTAATTAATTAAATGCTGATTATGTAAGTGGGTCTAAATACGCTCGGTAATCCAGAATCAAATTTCAATAAGAGCATTTAAATGGCATAATAGATTAGACAACATCAAGTTTATGAATTAACAGCATATTCTTTAAATTAGTTATATGTGTACATGGAAGGTTATAGATTTTCTTTCTTTGGAAAATCTGACAGGTTTATATAAACCTGTCAAACCTGTCTGAATCCGCCCCTGTATAAAGTCGAAGGACCTAAGCTCGAAACGTCGAAGTTCTGAGGTTCTCCTTGCAATTTTGGGATAGTTGTGTCCTATCAATCCGCAGCTTTTGTATATATTTACCCGACTATTTATCCAAGAACTTTTAGTTGTTTTCAATAATTCATGTCATTGTAAAAAGTATCAATTTTTCGACGAAAAATTCTAAAAAACATATGATTGGTTAATTTAAATTGCAACAATTGCCGCCCGCGTGAATTATACGGATAAAAACACGAGCATGTCGACCTATAACTCATTGAAATTTAACGTGAATAATTTGACTTCCCCAGAGCTATTGCCAACTCTAGCCTGCGAACGGGTATGCTCTTGGAACGAAATTGGGCTATAGTAGTATTACAGGTACCGATCGAATCTCTTTTGTGCGGTGGTGTTTGGAGGGCCGTAACTCGTTTAGTATTCATGCAATGCATATGTGGTAGTGAACTCATAAAGCATACAACATGGTTTTTGACTCAAGCTAGTGGAAGGGCAAGTTATACGAACTAATAAGTCTACTACTTCATTTTATACTTAATTTAATGACTCCGCCGCGACACATCGCCACAAGAATCTCGCTCGATCGATTCCTCTATTATGCTAACCATAAAATGCACGAGCACCTCGCTTTAAGTTTAATCTCTGGCGTTTCCTTAACAGCTAGAAAGGGTCGTAAAAAGCAGAGAAACCGGGGGTTGGCCAGCTCCAAATATTTGGAAAGTCCCCAACAAGGGGAGAGAGAGGCGGAATATACCTTTCGCCCCCCCCCCCCCAAATTGAATTTATAAGATATATTGCGCTTATCAGCCAATTAATTACAACAATGACTCACTGATACCATTAACTTACAAATTATAAAGAAAGAATTATTAAAAGACGCTAGCGAAAGAGATATCCAGTAATGATGCTCAAAGTGCAAAACTTTAGGGCTTTCTCTAAATATGTTTAGGCAATGTTGGTGATTCATTGGGTTATCACAGTGGAATGAAGTTCACGACCAAAGACAGAGATAACGACGAAGCGAGTAGCTACAACTGCGCTGCGACATTCAAATGTGGTTGGTGGTACAAATCCTGTTTCTTTTCCAATCTCAACGGTCGGTACCGCACTGCAAGTTACAGAGGTAAGTTTCGGGAATACAGAGGAATTAAGTGGTACCATTGGAAAAATGGCTGGAGATCCGTGAAAAACGTCGAAATAAAAACACTTAAATACGTCCAACAGCGTTTTAGAAACAC